ATGATGTCCGTTTACCTGGTATAGATCTTGATTTTAGTTTGAAGCATTTTAATTAAGTTAGATTTAATATAAAAGTAGTCTTGTGAATTTGCCCTGGTTGAGAACCAATGTTTTACTGATTATCAGACTAGTTTATTGTGGCAGCTTTTATTAAGAATCTTAGTACCCCCTTCTGTTTAAAAATTGAATTACATTTCCCCCACCCTGCTCTGCAGTGTTTAAATGGGTCCTATTATGCTTTTTCACTTTTTGAATTTTAGTCAGTGTGTAGTGTGTATGTTTGGGCATAAAAAAGATCTTCAAACTTACAAATCTCAAAGTCCCCTCCGAAGGGAGATATTTCGTTTTTTTAAAAATCCCTTTTCAAGAACTACAACGAACGGCTTGTTTTGACTACAGCTTTGTTTTCCAGGTTTTGTGATATCACAAAGCGGTCCATTAGAATATCATTAAAATAATTCCCGCCTACGGAAATTCGAGTGGTTGGGGGGTGGGGAGGGGCAAGGTCGTGGTTAGAACGCTTGGTTGAGTGCATCAGACAAGACAACGACGAATAATTACTGCTGTAGTGTCAAGTTTTCGCAAGTTATTACACATGCACCTGAATAATTATGTAAATACATATGTTACAATTATGAAAAAGTTTTTATAATAAATTGCTGACAGTACAATACTGGACAATGATGTAATCTGCAGAATTTACACTTCAATTATGAGACTACAGTGTTTCCCATACATTGAGTGCGGGTGTTTTTATATCACTGTATTTCTGAAGGAAACCGACTGTCTTCAGAAAATTGGAAAGAGATTCTTGTGTTCTAAGCCATCTATTTATATAGAGCAGTTTACTCCTCTAAGGCGGACACAATGAGTTTTCCGATATGTGTGGATGTATGTTACACAGACTCATGAGGAAACAGGTAGGAAGACCGTTTTGCGGCCTTTATCTATTGTTGTATCCGTGATATCTGTTTGTGAGTAAATTGCGCTCTGGGCTGCTCTCTTTCTGAGGAAGAAGAGATGTTCGTTCAACCACTGCTGTTCCAGTTCTGCGGTTGCCGAGGCGCCGCACAAGCGCGACGCTTGGGGTGACGGCGAGTGCACAGAGAGTGAGAGAACGGAATTAATCCCCTTCTCTCTGGCTCTCTTCCCCAGACCGCGTGCGTTCATCAGAAGAGCGCCTCGTGAGTCAGGTGGGTAGTCACATCT